TTGAATGCACCTAAAGCGCCAAAACTTTTTTTTGCTTCCAGTTTCTTCAGAGCAATATCCTTGGCCCTCAAGGCCTCTTCTTTGTTGCACTCCATAACTGACCACAAGTAAACAAAGTGAGCCAAAACTAATCCTTCTAGCACATATATTCTGCAAAATTTAATCAATTGTACTACCTTAGTATCTTTGTCAAAACACAAGAAATGCAACCCAATATCCATGAGCTTATGGATCCTCCAAGTACCTCTGCATAGTACATCAGTTCTTTAACCTGGGTATCCACATAGAGACTAGGGACTGCAAAAATTCAAGTTGTAATGTTCAATAACACCGAGATAATGTTTCTCCATGAGGGTACAAAATTTCTCCAAAGAGACTAATTTACAATGAGAAAAATTAGAATGTAACTAAGTGACTCCAACATGCTGCACAAGTGAATTATCATATATATGCATATTGCATATAACTAAATTGCAAAATATTTTAACACCATGTGCAGGCATTAACTTGCAAAATTTCAATGCAAGATCACTCTTTCAATATACAACCCTAACACACTTGCCAATAAAGTAAAAGGAAAGAGAAACAAGAGTCATTCCCAAGATAATGAAATTAGGAAGAGCAATAATAATAAAGAGAGGGGGAACCTTAGATACAAAAAAAAAATTGCTTTTAGATCCTCTGCATAACTGTGCAGGTTAATATCAGTGCATTTAAACCAAACATCTATAAAAATGCGAACATGAATAAATAAGGAACAATTCGAATAGGATCTACTTACATCACAATTTTAAAAGAACTTACCAAATAAGAATTTTTAAAGCAATTACCAAATACTACATAACTATTTTAATATGAATTACCAAATAACTATTTTTCAACATCTAAACCACATAAATTCATCTATGAGCTTGATACTCATCCTAACTTTTGACTTTTAAAAGTATGTGCAGGCTACCTACACAATCAAGTCTTCGCCATCTTACTGCCTCCTGCCCACTAGCCAGGTTGTTAACTAAATTTCTTCATCTGATTTGCTGATAATTAAATATCTTGCTGCCAAATTAGAATACAATTCACTAATTTGGCCTCACCAAAACCTTATTAGCCATTTATATATCTGCCCGATTTTGCTCATAAAATCCAATTCAACAACTACTTGAAAGAAAAAGGCTTAATTGCACTTAAACAACACCAATCAAACTCACCAAAATCCCACTTTCTAAAACAAGGGGAAATCCATGTTAATCTTCATGATAGACAAATTATGTCAATCTAGGGGCTTTATAGGTATTTTGTTTGGTTTAAGTGAGGATGCATTAGTAACTTCCTCCATGTGACATGTACAAACTGCCACATCTCAGGTGACAACACTTGCCATGTCAGTACACGCCGTTTAAACTTGAGCTAACTCAATCTACGTCCATTTAACCTTGGTTAGGGTTTTCAAAAATATCACATCCCAAATTCGTTAAATCTCCTTCGACTATCGCTGTACAAACCGGCGTCTTCAATTTTGCAAGATTTTCTGAATTTTGTATAATATGTGTTGTTGCAAATTGTCCTTAAAATTTATAATCAATTTATAATATGAGTTTTGGACAAATCGATTTGGGAAAAAGGAGGCAGCCGCTGCATAACGAAAGTGGTGGTGAAGTATACGAGGAAGAGCATTCTGTAAATCATTATTGCGAAATAGTTCTGTTAAATTGTTTTTAGAGTTGTTAATAATCGTTAATTGTAAATTAAAATTGTATTATAGGTCCCAATAACTAATTCTTGTTTGAGTAATATTAAATACTTCACGTGGGGCGATTCCAATTGGATATGCAGGCAAGCATAATCGAAGTGATTTCGGCGACTATGGAATATTAGGGGTACATGTACTGTTACAATGTATGATTGATTTTGTAATTTGGGAATATAATTTGATTTGAATTCATCTACTATATTATGATTTGAATTAATGGGATCAATATGATTCAATGAAGTGATGAAATTATTTGCTAATTGCTAATCTAAAGTTATAAGTGGCCGAATTTTCTTTTACTGTTTATCATGCAATTCCTTAGTCCATATAAGGTTACTATACTAATTAAAATAAAATAAAATAAAACGGTCACTATATTATGACTTTGCAAATTTGGGAATAGATTAGTTTGGTTTTGACATTAACACTGCAAAGTTATTGGTGTTATTGTGTAGAATTATGTTTAATTCATGTGTTATTGAGTATTTCACAACTTATTAGGTGTGGTTGATTTTATTGGAGCCATTAGAGGCAGTTGTGGTTCTTTCCCTGCTTTCAATCTAGAAAACTAGGATAAAACTTTCGTTTGCTGGAAGAGGGTTTAAAGGATGCATTACTCCATATCATGTGCCTAGGCATGGGGATAGGCCTTGCTTGAATTTTAAAACAAAAGTAGACACTAAAGCTACTGTATAATGAAGATTATGCTCTGAGAAAATGAATTATATCTAGTTCATGGAACATTAAAATATCTAGTTGAGTTAATAATATCTAGTTCATGGAGTAACCATGTGAAAATGAAAATGAAAATGTGAAAAATGAGAAGGTGACATATTTACTCAATAATATATCTAGTTCATGGAGTAACCATGTGAAAATGAAAAGGTGACATATACATGTGCTTGAAAATGGTCAATATTCCTTAATGTATGTTTTGATGTTTGGTAACAAGCCGAGAACATCTATTCTAGCCTATTACCTCAATTGGTCGAGCACTGTGTATATTTATTTGCACAGAAGATGTAGGTTCTAATCCTACATAGGCTAATATATAGAAATTTAGTGACCCTTTTTAGCAAATACTTACCTTTTTCATAGTCATTTTTTTTCCACATATTGTGACCCCTATATACATATCATTACCTTTTTAAGATATAGTGACCCCTTTTATAGATATAGTTATCATTTTTGTAATTACCGAATTATTACATATAGTGACTCCTACTTAAATATAATCAGTTAATCACCCATTTTTAAATTTATAGGGACCCCTCTTTAAATATAGTAACTTTTATTAAAATAAATATAATCACCCATATTGACACATATAGTGACTCCAATATATACAGTCGTCATTTTATGGTTATCTTTTAAGAGTAGTTTTATTTCTGAACTTAACTAGACAAAAGGCTTCCCGTCAAAAAAAAAAAAAAAAGACTTACTTGTATAATTAATTAATTATGTATGCGGCCGTGATCTTAGGAGAGATGAAAGAGAGGAGAAATTTGTGGGTAGATGAAGAAAGAGGGTACTCTAGAGTAGAGAATAGTGGTGGTGGTGGTGGTGGTGGTTTCTAGTGAGTGGTGAAGACGGTGGTTGACCAGTTAGAGGAGAAAGAGAGTAAGAAGAAATTTGAGTTGAATGGGTTGATTTAATTAGTTTGGGGTAAATTTCATGACAATCATTAACTTTTTTGACAGGCATCATCAACTTAAATTAAGTTAGTAACAAGTTTATAATATTTGAGTTAATGTGTTAATTGAATTTAAGTAAGGGTATATTGGTAAATTCATTTTTAAAAATATATTAAAAAAAGAAATTTAATTTTGTTGCACATAATATGAAACATCCATTTATGGCAAATGTTGCACATAATATGTAACAGAGGAAGTACTACAAAATGAAATCTAGAAACAAGCACAAAAAAGGATTAGCTTTGGTTCTCGTGCAGCTGCTTACATCTTCAGCATGATCGGGTTCGCTATAACTAGAGGGGTGGGGGGCTAGGTTGTATCTCGGCTCCCCACCAGTTTCTTGTAAATTGATTGACTCTGTAGGTTTTTTGATATTTTTATAATAATAATAATAATAATAATAATAATAATAATAATAATAATAACAATAATAATAATATATAACAGTTTGGGCTATCTGACTTTGTTCTTGGATGGGTTGTGGATGATGCAGCTCGACATAAGCGGTCAAGTACGAAACCAATTGTCAGACAATTGGATGTTGTTTCCTTCCTTTCTCTTTCTCTTCACTTGGGGAATCAGAGGACGCAGTTGCGTTGTTGAAACGGATCCAGAAGTTCTCGGAGACTCAAGACATAGGGGCACGTGCTGCTGCTCATATCTTCACTAGGGTAGGATTTTCCAGAGCTAAAGGAGTGGGGGTCGTAGTAGTTCAATTTAGTTTAGTTTAGTTTAGTTCAGTTCAACTCAGTAAATCAGAACAAGTTAACACTTATTAAAACACGTACAACCAAATTTGGTAAGTGTAACACTTATTAAAACACGAAGGGAGTAGTATGGTTATAAGTTAAATGATAATGATTAATGAATGTTGATTCGTGTACATCAATACTGCACCCGTGTAATTATCCTAACAATGTTTTATTTGCAATACGTTTCACTTTTAATATAACAAAGTTAACACATTGATGTATATTTTCAAATAATTTAAAAAGGAGCATATTATTGTCCGATTTATAAGGATTGATATACTATCTCAGTTTTAAAATTATTGCACCACTAGGCTTTTAAGGAGCACTACTAGAAAATCCGTCCTTTTTGGACGCTTTTAAAGCCTTTTTTCGACGCTAAAAAGCGTCGAAAATTTATTTCACGAAGCTAAAAAGCGTCGAAAATTTATTTCTCGACGCTTTAAAAAAGCGTCGAGAAAACGTGAGTCGAGAGTATTAGTCGTCATCAAAAAGCGTCGCGAATCTCGACACTATACTGTGTCTAAATCTTTATACGATGCGTCGGAATTCACAGTAGTTGGCGCACTTTCTTAGCTTTAACGACGCTTTTTTGTGTCTAGAATCATAAAGATAGCGACGCTTTTTTGTGTCCACAGTTTCATATATTTGATGTCAAGTATTTTGCCAACGTTTTTTCTGTCGATATTTTCTTTGTTAGGGAAGGTTTTATTGGTCCATATTTTTTACAAAAATATCTAGAATACAATAAAAAAATATTTCCCACTAAAAATTATTACTAGTTTTCAAGTATTAATTACCAATATATACACAGCAAAATTAGGCCAAATTTTTTTATTGCATATAAATATATTTATAGTTTATGTACAATATCTAATAGCAATGAGTTTTCTATTACAAAAGGTATAATTCTATCTTATACCAAGGAGCCAATAGTTCAAAAGTACAAACAAGAGGTAATTATACATAAGCACAGAACAAAGCCAATCATAGGCATCACTAATAAGACATCTAAGCTAGAGGAAATAGGTGGCATCAAACTTCGACAGTAGGAATACATAACTCCCTTTCATAAGGGTTCTTCACGCAATCTGGGATAGAATAATAAGTCCTATGGCCAATAGCCATATCATTACAACCTTCAGCAAGATTATGGGCAATGACATTGATATCCCTACGAACATGCTTTAATCTCCACCTCTTCAAGTTTCCTAATGCTATTAGCAATGTCATTTATTATGGCAACAAGGGGATGGTGGATAATGGGGTCGAAGGTGTCAATTAAACATCACCTTAATGGAAATTGCATCCGTGAAAAGCTCCACTTTCTTCACATCAAAAGCCTCGGCCATAGCCAAAGCATCTCTAACAGCATAAAGCTCAGCTGCTAGCGCCGTGACAGCGTTGTATTTGTTGGAGAAACCCAATAAACAAGTCCCATCATCATTCCGAATCACTCCACCACCAGCAGCAACATTAATCCTCCTCCAAGAGCCATCTGTATGGATTCTTTTGAACCCAGGGGGAGGAGGAATCCACTGCTGCTGCAAAGGAACAGCAGGGCAGAGGGTCTTCAGGGACAGAATGCGGCATTAGTAGTAGCTCCATTCTCACCCGAGGGAGGGTGGAAGACAGAGACAACAGACTGAGAGGAACTAGCAATCCCAGCAGAGATAGGGATAGCAGCAAAATTAGAATACTGACAACATCATCGAGAATAAAAAACAACAGCAACAACATTGCATAGCAACAATAGCAAGGTCGACAACAGTGTGGTCAACGTCCTGCAACAAGAACATTATCAATCATTTCAACTAATGACAGAAATAAAATTAGTAATATATACGAATACCGACCAATTACAATGATTCAAAAAGAAACCACACCTAAGACTTTAAAGCAATAACTAGAAAACCACCCCCTTCTTTCAAATCCTCACCATTCATGAATCAACCCAAAAATACAAATTTTATCGCAACAAAAGCAAACACAATTCAAAATTAACAAAAGTTCACGATTATAGGAACATAGGGAGCGGAAACCATGGACCAAGCCAAATTAAACAAGCAGCATATATAAGGATAATATATTTTTATGTGTTGCATTATTATACAAGCCAACTAACCAAATGTCAAATATATAAATAGAGTAGAAATAGATCAAAATAGCTTCCGGTAATGTCAGATTTTTGTTTCTAGATAATGTGAGTTTTTACAGGTAATGTGAGTTTAATATCAGAAGTTGTAATTTTTTCATAGCAATATATATATTCTATAAATGATCTTGCATATTTTGAAGACAAAAGTACCTTCCAGAATCCTCCCCACCAAAACCTACAGAGAAAAATGAATGGATCAGTAATTAAAAAAGTATACATGTAAGATATATTACAGCAAAACAAATCTTAATAGTCAAATCTTAAGGATATACAAAAGTAGCCCAAACATGTTAAAGTCAAAATGGTTCATTGAAATGAAAATATAAAATCTAGTTTTAAGGAATAAATTGGACAATTTGAGAAAATAGGGAGCAAAATATTTTTGCACAAGGCAATAAGACAAAAACAAAAGCTTGAAAATACAAAAAAAAAAAAAAAAAAAAAAAAAAAAAAAAAAAAAAAAACAAACCACCACCAATTAGCATAGGTTTACAGATGAAAGATATTCACCTACATACCTTCCACCAAGACTACGATTTAACGGTCTTAAAAGCCACGGTTTTGGTTTTCGAGATTCCACAATCTAGCAACTCTGGAACCTAGAATATCAGACAAAAACCCAGGGGAACCATTCATTCACTATAAAAATAAGAGATATATGTAAGAAAATTGTACATACTTGCTTATCAATGTTTCAGTTTGATCCCATGTGTCTAGCTTCCATACGTCCTTCTCTGTTAATGGTCTTTTATAACCAAGCTCCATGAGGGGATTCATCCACGAAAATAAAATATCTATCATCAAAGTAAACAAAATAATAAGGCAACTTGTTAAAGAACAGAACACTTCAGAAATTGAGACTACATGTTCTGAAGTATATCTTATTAGGATATCATAAGCAAGCAACAAGTCCTTCCTGCAATGACAAAAGTTTATAAAATCGTCTAATTAGCCATCTTAAACATGTTTACAAGTTTCCAACTGAAATTGCTTTTATACATATGACAAGGAAAATGCGATTATGATGTCTCTTTAATTACTATCTTGAAAAGGAAAATGTAATTATGATGTCTAATCATTAACTAGAAGTGATTCAAACGTTTTAGAATTTAGAAAATCATCAAATATAAAATTAACAAGGATGGAAGATCAGCTCCCAAAGGCTGCCTATTCAACATCCAACTGAATAGTTTTGAAAACAAAAGTTAAGAGAGGAAAAAAACCATACTAAAGAATATGTTAACATGCCTCTCCGGTTAGATTAGCTCTCCACCAGGAAGTTCCTCGTACACACTGTCATCAATTTGTTCATGCCTTATGGGAGTATACCCCGGGTAAGGATCCAAACAAAATGCCCAAATTCGATAAAGTCAACTAAAATTCATGTCAGAAATAAGAACATAACTTCAACACACACCAATTTAGTTCTTATACCTCTCTAAGGCGAGCCAAAACCGCTTCCCTCTTTGCCGCCTCGTCATCGCTTTCATACAAACCAGACTCAACCAAAAACTGAAATTCCAACCCATTCACCTTAAATCACCATCTAATATAACACAGTCAGAGTTCTATTCTTCTGATCAAAATTCACTGCCCACAAAACTAATTAACCAAATTGGTAACTAAATGAACTCTATCTACACCCAATCGCCATAATTATAAACAAACAACATCAATTTATACAAAAACAAACTAACTACTCAGAAAAACATGAAGCAAAAACTAATGCAATAATCAAAATCTGAAATCAAATTTAGGATACATAAATTCAACACAATGTAGACCCATTAAAACCCTATTCAAAATTAATCAAATCAAAATGTTAAGAACAACAAATACCCATAAAAATTAGAATAAAAAAAATGAGGTTACCTTGGGTAAAACGAGCACCAAGCTTAGCATAAGAAGAAAGCTTAACATCAAGATTACCTTCAATCTTTCGGGCTTCTTTTCGGAGCTCTTCCCACCCAGATTCCTGCAACTCCATACTCAGATCCGACATCCTACCCACCTGAGCCGATTACCACAACCCACCAGACTTAAGAAACCTTGAAATTTTTACTGTTCAATCAATTAAACCCATCATCTGACCATACTTCGGTAACATTATTGGGAAAAAAAGCTTTAAAAACAATCCACAAACCCAATTTCGAATAAAAAAGAAAAAAAAACAAAACAAAATATACGCCTTAATGTTGTCGGCACAGAGATGAGGAACAAATTGATTAACATTAGACAGATCTGAATATATAATTGATGTACCTTAATATGAATTGATTTAGAGAGACAAAGATCTAAACTTATATTGATTTACCTCATTTCGAAATAGAATAGAGAGGGACGACGGACGAAAATGTAACTTTGAAACTGATGTAGCACGCTTTGAAATTGATTCAAGAAGGGCGAAGATCTGAATTTGAATTTGATTCACAGAGGAGCGAAGATTTGAGTTTGAAATTCATGGTTCCATGAGCCTCTTTGTAGAATTACGTATGAAGATGAGAAGAATAGTTAGGGTTGATAACTGAGTCACTGAGTGGTAAGGGGTTGGTTGGTTTGTTTTTTTTTTTTTTCCTAAATTTTGAAATTGTGGGTGTTGAATTCACGTGTTAGTCACGTGCTAGAGTTTCTCGACGCTAAAAAGCGTCGGTAAAACACGCATAGTATTTCAGAGCTGACACTACCAGTCTAGCGTCGAAGGCCCAGTGTCGAGAAAGTACTCTTTTTGTAGTAATGGAGGTTTCACAACTATTGCACCATATTCATTTTAGGAAATAAAACTAGTTTTTGGCCTAGGAAATGCCCCGGGTCATCAAATCGTATCATATCACTAATATATAAAATCGGTCTTGCAGCGAGGCCACGTAACAGCAACACTAAGCATTCTAGGTTTTCACCAAATGTCGTGTCATGTAACCGACAAATAGATATTACTGTGACTGTGTGACACATATGATGCTAAGTAAGCTAATTTTGGATAGATTTTTTAAGATAAAAATGAATATACTTCTAATATTTCATATATATATAATTAATCATAACTTTTAATAAATATCCTATGACTCGGTTTTATTTCCATTATAAAATTCGTTTTAAAAAGTTCTTTAAAATAAGATCCATTTATAATATATTTAATTTTTCAAAAAATAATAGAAAACCTGAAATAAAATAAATTTTAAACAAAAAATAATAATTTTAGTTTAGTAAAAATACTTTCAATTCAATAAAAATAATTTAAGTTCAATAAAAAAAAATCAACTAAACCATTAAAAAAAAATCAAGTTAATAATAATATATATATCTATTTACAAATTACAAACTACAAAAAGTAAACAATTATATTTTATCCTAAATTTTTTATCAACAATCCGGGCATCGCCCGCCCGGTTACAAAACTAGTTATATGTATATAACAAATGAGGTTTTATAATAAAAAATTATGTGATAAAATACAAATATAGATTAAATTAGTTACAATTGTTGTAAATAAAGGAGTAGTCTAGTACAAACCTTGTAAAAATATTTAAGTAAGATAATAAAAGATAATCCTGACCGAGTAACCCCTGACTGAATAACTAAGGTAAACCTTAACAAAATAACTAGGTAGCTCCTGCCACACGGTGTTGTCTGCTGCATGAAAAGGTTACTGAAAAAACTTACCCAAAATGAAAATGTGGTGAAATAAAAATAAAATTTCTAAATAGGAATACTTATCAACTTAAAAAAAAAAATAGAGGTAATAAGTATATATTAATTTTCATTGGTAAGAATTACACAATTACATCATTACATATAACAATTAACCTAATCATTTTAGTTGCAATCCTTTAATACATTGAAGTTTCATTAACTTAAATTGACACATTTGAAGTAAAAAATTTACCTTGTCCATTAGTGCATCCGTCCCTTTGCGTGGCACTATTGTCAATTGTACATAAGTTTACTAATCATGAATCAAATAATACTTACAAAGAGTAAACATACTCATGTTCCGGTGATTATTTTGAAACGGGGTAAGTACGAACAAAATGATTTAGATATATTTAAGACACGTTTCTTTAGCCAAGTCTCAAATGAATAACTTTATCTATTTATATATTTACTAACTCATAATCCCATACAAAATAATAGACAAAAAAGTCAACTCTGAAAAATATATATGTTCGTACGGCCTTTATTTTATCATTACTTTTCTAACACAATAGACTTATAGACGGTGAAGTTTGATGATTACTACTACAAAAACTTTGTAAAACCATAATTTAGGGGTAGTCATGTTAATCAGTTCCTTAATAGCATTTAGTTAGAGGCAATAAAATAAAATTTATTTTAAAAATTATTTTTTATACAATGTGAAGGTAAATATCTAATTTTATTTCATATTTTATTTCACAGTTGTTGCATTTAAGTTGTAGAAATAGTCAGTAGTATTGTTGATTTGACTGGTCTCTATCTACCAACTGCCTACAATAAAAGCTTTAACTAATATCAGCCTTCACCCTAGTGTAACTCACTAACTCACCAGCTAACTAATGAATTGACAGAAGTAAACAACCATTGTTAAAATAAGGCTTGCCTACGTGTAGCTTCATTCGGTTGACTCATCTTCTAGTAACTCAAACTGCTGATGTGGCGTCAAAGATTGACATAGTTTGTCAATCAAGAAGATCAACTGGGCACTCCCCCTAAAACAATACTCAATAATTGAAATAGCAAACAGAAAAACTCAAGGAACATAAAATAGGTAAAAATAAAATAAAATAAAATAAAAAAGCATTAAATAAAGGTGAGATTAAACTTACATTTTATTATGATTTGCAATGGTGTATTCAATTGGTTTCATAATAGGAATCAAAACCTATGCAACATTCAAATCAGCAAAGTTTAAAACTCATCACCCAACTTGTTCAAAGTAAGAAACTAGATTGATTATTAGAAAAAAAAAATTCAGGGAAAAAAGTATACATAAAAAGGGGGCATGAAATTACCTTTCGATTAACAGCAAAAAAAAGAGCAATTAAGACCAACTATATCATGCCAAATAGCCCTCAAATACAATCAATAAGCAATCAAGAAAGCCAGTAATTAGAAAGAAGAGGAGAGAGAGAAAACAAACAAAATGGTATTAACCCATCCTACTCAAAGGGATGATGTCGCCAGGTTTGCATGCGGCAAAAATACTAAAATAGCAGCTATATATAGATAGCATGACTATTGAGATTGCGCCAAAGATTGCAGCTCTATTTTTCGCTTTAATGGAAATCGGAATTTTACTAAAAAAAACCCAAAAAACAAAAGAGTTTTACAGAAATGTAACTAGTAACTATGAAACAATTGATAATCAAGAAAAAATCACTAAACCCTTATACAAATCGAGAATATAAATCTACCTAAAATTCCACAAAACCCAATTAAAACAACAATTCAACACCAATTACTCTATCAAATTCATAAATCAAAAGCAAAAATACCTTTTTTTTTTTTTTGTGAGAAACAAACCTTAGAATTGAAGAATAATGAAGTATTTCCACCACGAAATTAAATACGACAGCGACAACCAACAAGATTTGTCTGCTAACCGGGGAATTGCAAATTGCCACTGAAATTTAGAGGTTTTTGGGTTCAAGAAGTTTGGGTATGAGACTATGAGTGTCTCTTTGAGTACTTTTTTTTACATAGAAGAGGGAAGGGTAAGGGTTTGTGACTTTGCGTGGGTAGAGTCTGTAGAGACAGATTCTTAGGTGGTTTTATTTTATTTTTTAAAGCCTTTTTTTTATTCAAATGAGGAATAACTTCCAACATAAACAAGGAAAATAAGCAAAAATAAAAAGAAAAAGCAAAGAAAAACAAAACAATTATACTAGCATCCCTTTAATAACATTTAAGTAAGATTCGCTATTATATATTACTAGTTTTGTTCCCCTGTGATGCCGAGTTGTTTATTGAATTTTAAGATAAATTTTTAATCTTTATACGATTTGCTAGATTGTGAAGTATATTATTTTAATCGATTAGTATATATATTATAAATGTATGTTTTATGCTTTGAACTATTTACTTAGTCCAAACAACATTATGATATAAAAAATAATTTATTTGATAATTTTTTAGAATTATATTCTAATAATTTTTTTAATAAAATTATAATTGAATTTGTACATTTAAAATATTGGTATTTTATCGAAAATAAAACTAATTTTATACTAAAATTCTATCCAAATAGAATTCTAAGCTAAATATTTTGTATCTTATGAGGTCTATTTAAATCTGTCCAACGTGGCACGACACTGCGACACTTGGTGAAAAATTGGAACTCCAAGTGTTGCTGCCTCGTGGACTGGCTAAAAGTTTAGCTTTATATAATAGTTATATGATATTCTTTTCACCTTACAAAAAATAATATAAAAAAATGTTAAGTTTAGTAAAAATTATTAACTTAAAGGAAGAAATACAGTAGAGAAATAGTAAAAATAACTTAATTTCGGTAAAAAAAATATTATCAATTTTGGAAAAATAAGGTTTAGTGATCTTAACAACACCATATGCATTATAATTTATAGTAAGGGTAAAAAAATGCTACGAGTACAAATAAAAAATGCTACGAATAAAAAAAGAAAATCCTTATATTGATAAATTCAAGTTCATCATTATAATTTGGTTAGTTAAAGTAAAAATCCTAATAATGATTAATACGAAGGAAAAAAACATTATACTATGAAAAATTATTTATGTGTTACATGTAAGTGTTACATATAATCAAAGTGTTACATGAAAGTGTTAATCTTTAAATAATGTTACTTTAAAGTGTTACAAATTATCAAAGTGTTACTTTAAAGTGTTACAAATTGCTTACGTGTTACATACAAGTGATGCTTGTTATTTAAGTGTGACAAAAGTGTTACTTAAAAATCTTTTTATTTCTGGACAAGTAAAGTGGTGCCACAATGTGTGACATTAGGCCTACTTTGTAGTTAAGGGTGAGAATAGGAGCAGTGGTGAGACATTTCTTAAGTTCTTGAAATGCAGTCTCACAATCTTTATCCCAAATAAACTTGGTATTTTTCCTCACAAGTCGAGTTATAGGTAATGCAACCTTGGAAAAGTCTTTAACAAATCTTCTATAATATCCAACTAAACCCATAAAACTTCGTACTTCAAGAACGTTGGTTGGTCTAGGCCATTCCACAATTGCTTTTATTTTCTTAAGATCAACAAATTTTCCCTTATCAGAAATAATGTGCCCCAAAAATGATATTTCCTGTAGTCAAAACTCGCACTTTGAAAATTTTGCATATAATTGATTCCTGATCAAGGTATCTAGCACTATTCTCAAACGTTCCTCATGTTCCTCATTATTCTTGAAATACATTATTAAAAATACGGTTCATCAAATCCATAAAAACAGCTGGTGCATTAGGTAACCCAAATGACATTACAACAAACTCATAATGAACATATCGCGTTCTAAAGGAAGTTTTTGGAACATCCTCATATTTAATTCGGAGTTGGCGATATCCATACCTCAAATCAATCTTTGAAAATACTTTTGCACCTCGAAGTTGGTCAAACAAATCATAAATGCGGGGTAAAGGATAATTGTTCTTGATTATGATCTTGATTATGATCTTGTTTAGCTCTCTATAATCGATACATAGCCTCAAACTTCCATCCTTTTTCTTCACAGACAATACTGGAGCTCCCCAAGGTGACACACTCTGTCGAATGTATCCTTTCTCAAGAAACTCATCTAATTGTTTCTTCAATTCTTGTAATTAAGTTGGTGCCATCCAATATCGTGCAATAGAAATAGGAGCCGATCCTGAAATTAACTCGATGGTAAAGTCTAATTCTCTTTGTGGTGGCATGCCAGGTATCTCTTCTCGAAAACTTCTGGGTACTCACAAACTATAGGAATGTTAGTTACAGATGATTCAAAATGGTTTAAGTCAACCACACCACAAAGATAACCACATATCCTCATATCAATCTGGTGAGCTCTCAAAGCAGACACTATTTGGAACTTAAGTTTTCTTTCAAACTTTTGATAGGATATCCTCTCTCAATTTTGCGCCGTAAGAGTTAAACTTTGCTCAAAACAATCAATTTTGTCCTCATACTTGGTTAACCAATCCATACACATATTTATGTCAAACTCAGATAGGTCAAATGCTATCAAATTAGCTGGGAATTCAACTCTCTCTAAGATAATTGGACAATCTCTATGCATGGTTCCATATTATTTTGGTAACATTATTCTCTCATGTAAAAATACAGATTTTGATGCAAAACTTTCAACATTGACAAAAACATAAAAATATGAATTTCTAACTCGAAATACATTTTGAAATAAATTACTTTCATTCGAAAAAATTAGATTATGAAATAATAAAATCTTAAAATGAAATTAAGACTAAAACATTTGTTCGTCATCAAAATAGAGGTTGAAATTTAATTAAGCTTATCATATAGATTAGAGTATAATAAATCATATTTTAAAATCTTGGGTATTATAACTACACAGTCAAGAAGGAGATGTCGCACTTTGGAAGTGCCAGCTGATGAAGTTATCCAACACGATGAATATGGGGAGTCAGATGAGTAGGTGGTTCTTTGCCTGGGATACCCCTTCCACTTCCAATGATGGGATATTGAGAGAGTAAGACGGTGAAGGATCCATCTCCGCCTCTACTCGTAGTGATCCTAATCAAGGGGACGATGACGAGACCTCCTAAATATTAGGGGCGAAGGCTTCTAGGTCTGGTAAGGCGGAGGCTGGCTTTGAAGTTGAACATTTAGCTAAGTCTCCACCTATGATCAACCCCACCGAAACACACATGACTTCCAGGGATGTAACTGCCCTGAAAACAAGCTTTAAGGGATTTCAAGATAAATATCCCATTGGACCGAAGTGGGAAATAAGAGTCCTGCTTGTGGAGGCAATTGTAGTTTGGGAGGATGACGTTAAGCATGCCACCAATTATTTCTGCTGCTATGAGTCGGCAATAAAATCTAGACTCTGCTTCCCTCTTCACAGGGGAACAAGGAGGATCTTGAAGGTGTATGACCTAGGCGTTTGGCAGCTCACCCCTAACTCCTGGATAAAATTCCGAGTTACATCGCCGCTTACGAGTTCAAGAACATTGAGCCAAGCTTCGAAGCTTTCGCTCATATGCATTACATGAGTCGGGCTCTAAGCGGCTAGGGAGCATGGTATACTTTAATCACCAGTCTGGAGTACATGATAACTCTAGGTAAGCCGTCTAAGTTTTATCTCATCTCTTTCCCCGCTTTAGCAATGAACCAGGTCTTACGCATGTACAATAAGGATCCGGCTTTGCTCGGAAAAAAGTACACCCTCCCTCACATTCCATCCTAGGCTTGGGAACAAAAAATGGAGCCGAAGTTCTTCACAACCAGCACTTAACCCTTAGACGATGGGACCCAAATAATAGTACCAAAGAACTAGGTACCCCATCCAGACTTCTTGAAAGATGAGGTGTAGTCAAGGATGATGGGGTAAACCCGTTTTCCATTTGGATTCCAAGGATGATGGGGTAAGATGGGACCTAAATAATAAACCCAAAGACCAAGGTAAGAAGATTTCTTTGAACTCCCATGGCCGCTTGACTTTATGCGTATCAAAACCCACCGATCTCATCAGGAAAACTGTTCAACAGCCGACATAATTTGGGTGTCGCCTATGTTGCTTTCTCACCACATCCTTGTTATGATGTTCAGAAATTCGCCAAATGGATGCTGAGGACAATTAATAGGTCCAAAGACCGGGTGTCAGGAGTGCAGTCGGTTAATTTTGATTAAATCCTAGCTCTACTAGCTGAGGTAACCAAGCTTAACTCAAGTATATTTTTAATCTTTAGACTTATCTTCTAACCCCCCCTTGTAGACACCCAAATGTGTCTCTCCAAAACCAAACCCTCAGTGATGAATACCTTTCTTGTCATTTGATTATTGAACGAAGCAAAAGTGTGAAAAGTCTAGTAATGAGGATGTTTTTATTAAAATATCACTTCATTTTGTTTTTGAAAATATTTCTTTTCTTACCTTATTTATGAAAAACATGCATTCCAGTTTAGTTTGGTCCATGATATGGGTCAAATAATGATGCAGTTGGATGGGGTTTGAAAAGACCTTTCCAACGATATATTGTAAGCCCAATTCCGATGAATAATGAGGGAGTTATGGCCAAAATATTAAACTGGGCCCTAGTCGGATTTTACCTACGACCCAATGATCATGTGGAGGGTCAAAAGGTCTAATCCTATTCCTAAACTAATTAGAATTAATTAGAACCTTCTATAAGTTTCTAAAAGATCTTAATTATTCTTTTTGAAAAGATAAGATTAAAGAATTTGAGTTAAATAAAAACTTTCCTTTTTTTAATCCTAATTCTATTCGAAATTAAAGTTATCAAAGACAGTCAGATATAATTATCTTTCCAAATCGCGCCTCATAATCTTTATTCAAATCTTATATGGTTGGATAGATCTTGAAATTATTTTTCCAATGATATATTATAATATTAAATCCGAGCTATAACAAAAAAGATATGAATGAGATATGAAACTCTATCCAAAGCTGACACCTTCCCACTATTTCGGCCATATCTTTTTATCTACAAAAGATTTTAATCTGATTCTAATTGGGTTGGAAAGTAGACTTCAAGAGATTTCCAACTACTTATATATGCCATATTTGAACTTCTAGGTCAAATGATATGATAAAAACAATATCTGCAAAAACTGTTGTCCATCGAGTTTTATTTCGATTCGAATTCTGATTCTTTTCTTATTCTTCGACCCTCTTTTTTCTCTGTAAATAGAGGTCTTATCTCCCCTTTTTCAATCACCAACTCTGATGAAGAATTTCTTGATTCTCTCTCCCTCTTTCAAGCCTAACCTTTTACAAACAAAATTCC